TTCACATATACGTAATAATGTATTTCTATATTAATAATATATTTTAATTCATAAAATGATTATTGAATTACATTTTTAATGTTCGAATTTATGTAATTTCTTAAATGTTTACTACCTAATTACTACAAATATTGTTTAAGGTGATTTTTATTTAAATTGCGTATAAAATTGAAAACAAAATAACTTCCTTACATATCTTATTTTTATTGGAATTTAAGTAACATATTATATTGATAATTAAATATATATAATATAGTTTTTGATTTAATTCAGTATTATTTTATTTTATATAATTATAATTTTCCTTAAATATAATATACTTGTTTTTGCATTTCGATGCTTTGATTATACATTACAGATGACTTTACATAATATTATACTAGCGATGTCATCTGTCACAAATAAGGTGGATATAATAATAATAATAATATATTTTCTAACGATATTTCGTACTACAAAAATAATTATTAATGCCTATTTAGAGGTAAATATTAGAGAAAATGCAGAAGTACGATCCCTTAATCTTTCTTTTTATTTTAAATTTTATAATTGAATGGATTCTAGAAAAATATTAAATAAATAATATAATAAAGAGCAGAAAAATATGCATTTGATATAGTACAACTATCACAACTAATAAAATTAGTACTCCAAATTCAGGTCACATATGATAGTATAAAACGTGTATTTACTATTTTGACAGTTAATAAAGTTTTTTCATACATTAATGACATTTTTTAGCATACATGTAAATACCTCGAAACTGTAATTTAAAAAAAAAGACAGTTTAAGTTTATAAATTTATTAAATATATAAGTACACTTTTAGTAGCATATTTCATTTTATTGTACCTTTAAGTTATTTGACCTTCATTGTCAATATATTTAAATTCTCGTTGGATATGGCAATAGTGTTGGTATTTTAAAGTTTAATATATTGAATATATTTGTATTACATTTACATTATCATACGCGTCCGCAAACTTAAATTCTAGGGGATAACTGAAATTTTGTTGGGCCCTTTTTTTAATATTTTTTCTTGAATCTAATGTCTATTTCTAAGATAGTTTTAATTTTAATTCATGATTTTTTTCTTTTGTATTATATCTAGCTGTTATATCACAGTACGTTTTTTTTATATACACTTAAAATATTTTATAGTCTACCACATATATTTAGAAAAAAACACATTATATTTTAGTAAAATCAGTTTTAATGCTAGACTTTTACTTTAGGATTTTAATTATTCTAATGTCACAATTACAAAATGTCAGAAAGTGCCCAGGCACACCCGGCAACTCCCGTAAGCACGTCTATAGATATTATAACTTATATATTTTAATTTTAGTCTAATAATTAGGGAATGCGTACCATAAAGCAAACATGTTTGTGTGTTCTTATTTCCTAGTTATATCTTTATTAATACTATAGTTTATAGATAAATATAAATAAAAGCAAAATAATAGTTACAGTAATGTATCATACTAAATGATGTGGAACGAATTAATTTTGTTCAACCGGTCGTGGGAATTTCCGGGAAAGTGTGCAGTTGTTGCGTATATAAACTTTAAGTGTGCAAACCTAATGCAATTGGTTGTACAAACTTTCACGCACATTTCATTTGACATTGAGCTGCCCTGCACGTTCAACATTAGCCGATTATACAAAGTCTTAATTGTGTTCAAAGTTACGTAAACAATTGAATTAAAAATAGCTTTTTTCACAGCAAAAGGTCTGAGATAGCTATTTGTATTATGACATATTTTAATTACTATGTATTTGTAATTTTTTTACCACATTAGTTTAAGTAATTGTTTAAGATGTCATACTGTTTTAAAATATAGGAATTTTAATTACATTATATAAATTGTATTAAAAAAAAAGTAAATATAATTTTTATGGATTATTTAATGTTAAATATACCAACAAGAATTGAGAGGCTTAAGTTTTCTAAATTATAGACTTATTTTATAGTATACAAAAAACTGTTTTATTATATTTTGCATGTATACTCGTACACAATAGGCATTTTTTAAAAGTCCATTTAATATAAAATAATTACTGTACAAAAACTTAGTGCTTGTGTATAACGCTCTTAGTATATCTATACAATATGTTTATGATCATTTAATCATTTTATTATCGACCTAATGGGCCTGATGTCGGACAATAATATTAAATTACTTTTTCGAAAATTTTCCTTTAAAATTTATATCATAAATTAGCAGTTTAATCGTTTGGGTCTTATTTAACAAAGATTGAACAAACATAACTCATTGAACTTTAACACAGAATTTTATTTTAGTCATTTAACAACGTAGTTTATTTTTTCAGCTCCGATTTGAAAAAAAATGTGATAGCACAAAACTTTAAACTTAAAATAATGTTTACATGCATATCATATTTTATTATGAATTTGTTTTTGAATCGTGGCAACTGGCAACAAAATCACTTACAATTTACGAGGTATATTCCTAGGACATTATACCTAAACTGTCATTTATAATTTATACTCACTATTATTATCTTTTAACATGGCCAGGACCGCAGAAAATATAAGGAAACGTGTATACCTGCTGCTCTGTTTTCATACCCATACCTTTTTACCAATCCTACCTCTCGTGTTTATTACGATACATATAATATATCATTGAATTTTTCACCATAAATTGTCGTTTAAAGTTGAAAAGGTTATACTGGCCAATTAAAATTTATATCAATGTTAGACACAATATGTTTATATATTATATAGAAATAATAATAATAATAATGATAGTAAAAAAAAAAAAAAATATATATATAATATATATATATTGATTCTAAAATAATCGTTAAGTCGTTAATACATATAATTATTAATATAATGTAAGTAGATCTAACCAATTGTATACATATATATATGTTTTCCATGTATGCTTATTCGTCTTTGTATCATTTTCTATTCTTTCGTCTTCGACGGAAGATAATAGCATAACCTTATTAATGAATGTATTCAGTCCACAATTTAAAGTAATTTTTTTATCATAAATAATATCGGATATATATATTTTTTTTTGGTTTACAAAATTGTGTTTGCTTGTTATGATCAGACATCCCGTAGAATAATGTTATGTGTACATCAAAGAAAATCGTTGAGAGATCATTAAAAAACGACATTTCCAACAATTTTGGTTAATGCATATTTTATCCACACTCAAATAATTTAAAAAATGCATTATTAGCATAGAATAATGGGGGAAAAAAAAAACGCGGGCAATCTAATTGTTGTAACTTATAATAAAGCAACATATTTTATTTTTCTGATATTTTTGTTTGAATATTAATTACTAAAAATCTACTACTGATGCTTTAAATTTTTATTAATAAACTTCGATTACCACCGTGGCAATCTCGAAATGCAATTTAAAATGAGTAATAATGATGGGTAAAGTATATTGCAAAATATTAATGCATTAACTAATAAAAACTTATACAAAAGTCACAAGCATTTATCGTTTGTAGAACATTTTAAGAGCACACAGTAAACAATCAATAATAATGGGACTAATAAAATACAATTTCTTATGAACAAAACAAAAACTCGTTTGCAAAGTACCTAAACATATTATATTGGATACACGGAAAGAAAGAAACATTTTTAAAATGTTTTGTTTCTGGGCAGGGGTATTGATTATTACTAGTGTTTGTTCTAATGATTTTTTAAACGTTGTTGGTAGAAATAATTTTAAGTCATGAGAAAAGATTCGCTATTTTGCACGTGGCATTGACAGAGCGAGAGTTCAATTTAAATCGGCAGATAAAAATGTTGTACGTAAATTCAGCATTTTATATCAATGTAAAAATTACATAGATTCAACTATAAAATATGTTTTAATATGAAATATCTTATATATTTAAACAAAATGTCCTCCATAAATGTCAAAATACACGTGTGTTTAAAACGCGTTCAAGTACCAAGAGAACAATAAATACGACATAACAATATTTATTATAAATGTATGAATTTTATTTTTTCACCCTAACCATAAATAATTTGTGATCCATTTAAATTGCTTTTGATATCAGAGAATTTATGAAAACCTATACCCCCGGATCTAGTGTGGCGTCGAAAACTACAATGTTTTATACCTGAACAGAGTACGTATATGATACAATATACAGTAGCCAGTTAATATATATATATATCGTGAGAATTACACATTAAATATTATACATTATATTTAGAACATGCACATTTGAACTCAAGCACGCGGAAAAAATACGAATTTCAACAACAAGTGGTCTGCAATATAAATATAGCACAATGTATTTAGTCCTTTTTTTAATATCTACTTCAGTGTTTTTTTTTTTTTTTTTATATAAATCAATGTTTACTTTAATTTGATAAAAGATATTTTCGTTTTTCTTATCCAAGAATATTTTAAATGTTTATTTTTTATTTTATTGAAGAGATTAATAAAATGTATTTATTAGGTATTTAATATATTATATATTATATAAGCAGTATAATTTTTGCTATTTATTTTTTGAATAATATCTCAAGTTTTCAAGCCAATAGGAGGAAAAAAATAATAATATTAAAATATATTATTTTAAGTTATGACTTGCAAAAATCGTTTGTATTCGAAAAATATACTAGTCAGAAATATAGTAAGTTATCGTTTGTCTAAAATAACACGTGTGGAGTTACGCCGGAATACGAGTTGATATTTCGTACGGCAAAATTATGTTTCCGGATAACAATTACATGGTACGACTACCATAATATTATGATACCGTATAGTGTAGATGATGCATAGCGTGACGTAACAGTTATAGTGAAGACAAAATTAATAGTATCGCGAATGACAGCTACGTGTCGGTGATCGATTTGCGCGCACGTGATAAAGTAACACAGTCCGCATCTGAATATAAATGAATTTAATACGTACAATAATAAATAATATCGGCTTTCATATAATACCGTAATAAACCTTATGGTTATGTTTGACGTGGTTACAGATGAATTCCAGTTACGGCAGATCGTCTTCGGGCCGAGCGACGCTAGACGATACGACGCGGTCGACGAATACGGTAGGACTCGAGCTGGAGGTGAACAGTTTCAAAGTGGGCAAGATGCGAATTCGGTGCGTGGCCGAGCTGTACGGCGTGTTCAAAACGTCAGCCGAGACGGTACTAGACGAGGAAAAACCGCGTCTAGCTTCGATTCTGGGCACGTTTTCGTCTACAGGTAAATACAACGACACGTGCACAATACATACACATAAAATAAAATATTGTTCAATTATTGTAATATTATTGTTATCATTATTATATCGTAAAACATCCGTTGTCGGTCATCGGTTAGTATCGATGGCGTGGCTACCGGAAGGAATGAGAACGAGGGGAGGAAGGAAGAAAAAAAATCTGCGCGCCAAGAAAAATCTGTCGGTCTAAGGGGGATCAGGAGTAAGAACAGCGGGAGGAGAAGACTTTAAACACACACATATACTTTCTCGACCAGTGAACGGGTGAAAAATGTAGTGTAAAATGGGTTTACGGGGGATTAAGGGCACATTCTTCGCATCGTTGTAATGTAATGGTCTCCAGTCGTGTGGAAGGCAATTTATTTGCTCGATGGTCTGTTTTATACTGTACATATAAATATAATACTTATAGTATACCGCGCTCTTGTGCGTGTGTTTGTGAGATGCTTCTATCGCATATATCACATAGCAACTCGGCTGACAACTCCGCAACACAACGACGTCGCAGACCTACTGCAGGGAATACGCACTCACTCTTAATCGAAAATCGTGGGACATCATCCTGTTTTCCAGTCTGCTATCTTAGCGAATTCCTTCATCGCGTTCAGTGACCAAACTTGACTTCCGCTGTTGTTCTGACAATAACTACGACCGTTGGTCTGTAGCAGCGCACAGCAGAAAATATAAAATATATATCGCGCGCAGGTATAATAATAAGTGACATTTTTGGCCGAACTTCATTCAACTTGCTTACAATTCCCCACGTTCTATTTTAAACAGATAACATTTTGTATATGTATAGTTAATATTCAATCTAATAGAAAACGTTGCTGCTTAAAATAAATAGTGTACTTTATTAGGGCAAAATTTAAAATGACTGCACTGAACATTTTATAAAATGTCACTTACTACATATGCAGAGTACACCACCGATGTACTTTTTGATAATATACTGCATACAATACGAAACCACTAGAAGCTATTTGTGGCTCACCGTGATTTCCTTCAGTTGGATAAATATAAAAACGGGAAAATGCAATGGAACACTCAGTATTTTTAGTATATTTATGTTCAGTTAATAATATATTTATAAATAGATGGTCTTTGAGATACAGATTGAAAATCTACCAACCAACTATATATATATATATATATATATATATATATATCGGGTTTCAGCAACAGGTTTATTTTTTTCACTATTCGCACTTAAAACGAACTGAAAACACTTTAATCTCGGTAATCTCTGAACGTCAAACAGATGATAATAAGTGATACGATTCATCGTGATTACCTTCTAAATATTAAGAAACTACGAGACAGTACCCGAAAAAATCCTGCAAAATTCGCAGTTTTATTTTTACCTTCGATCGCATACATTTTATATTATTTGAGTGTTAGCACAGGCGCGTATCGTAATCAAATACTGTGAAAATCGATCCCCGGAGTACAAAAAAATTATAAGACCCGCTACGGATATATAATAGAAATAACACGAAAGGTTATTTTAGTGGAAACCTCATAAGAAAAAAAAAAGAAAATAAGATCCGAATTCAGACGATATAATAATATGTAATGTACCTTTATAAATAAGTAGTGATGCTGTGCGACAGCTGTATGTTAATCGATATTATTTATTCGTGTTTTTTTTTTATTTTGTTTTTTTTTTTTTTTAACAACACTTAAAATGTTTTTTATAATAAATGTTCGACAAAACACATTTCATATTAAGAAAAAAATAAAGTAAATGCGCACATTATTTCACTAAAACGTTTTCAACTCGATTCAACGTATATGAATCGAACTACACGCGTGTGTTTAATGTACATTTTATACATGGTCGAATTATACGTACGAAGATAATGCATAAAAAACGTATTGACAAAAACCTATCGTTCGTAACCGTTACTGTCGATTTGTTTATATATATATATAATATAATTTTTGTGTATATAATATTATACATATTTTATTATTTTACATTATACCTATATATTTAATTTTCACCACGACTATACTAGGTAGTCGTGGTGTGAATAAAATGGTAAAAATGATTTTTTGAACACAGTAGTAACATAAAACGTGTCACACATACATAAAACATTCCGAAATTTGCATATTTGTTAGCATTTTCGAACTCATGTTCATGCACATATATGCTTTATAATTTATACGAGTGTATATGATTATAATATGGATAATTACAGTTTCTAGATGTAAAACTACATTTTTGTGTTTTTATGAAAATGTAATTATTACAGTTGCTTTTATTAATTAGGCCATTTGTGTAAAATATAAAATTTTATTTTTGGTATTAGTATTGTTATCATGGTTCATGTATAAGATTCCGTATAATACTTTTTCATTTGTAAGATTTTTTATCAAATTATTCTTTCTATTGGCATATAAAGTTGTATAATAGTCTATATTTTATACTTTGCAGTAATAATTATGATTTACTATGAAACTATGAAACTGTTTGAGAAAATGTCATGCTTATTAAGTGTGATTTGTAAAATATTGCGTCCTAAAACCAATTATTTTAAATTAATGTACTTTATAAAGAAGATAAGAGAAGGGAAAGATAACTATGGAAATTCGTTTACGAGTTGATTTTTTATGGTTAATATTCTAATGAATATAACTTGAAAATAACAAAAATTAGAGAAAAAAAAAATTGGTTTTGTTAAATCATTAACATTAAGAATATACTTATTCGATTTATGCAAATAAAATATTATTCGAATTTAATAAATTAAATATTCCACTCTATATGTTAATAGTTGGTGAGAGTTTGATTGTTCAAAACAATTTTAATTGTAGTTTAGAACACGGCTAACATGTTTTTAATATAAATACATAAAGAAGTTAGAACGATTATTATCATGATAAAATAAAATTTTTGATTTTATAAATAGAATAAATTATACATTAATTTATTTGAAATCTTAGACGATTAGGGTTTTTTATATACCTATATTAAAGTTTTCATTTCTATTGCTATATATATTTTATTGTATACAATCGTCATAATAATCGTGTGCAGGTAATATTATTATGTTACAAAAAAGTAGTATTTTTATATTCAAATATTAATTAGAATACAAGTTATTATAATTATCTGAAAGATGGCTAAAAATAATAATGAAAATAATAATATCCAACTTGGTTATATTATAGGTTGAAATAGAAAGTAAATTTAACCTTTTAATTGGCTACATTTTTGTTTTGTTTTGTTTTTTTTTTTTTTTTTTGCTATAATCAAATTTAATACTCATAATAAATATGATTTTGTATTATCAGTAACGGTATAAAAATACATGCAATTACCACTGAAATCTCAGCACAACCGTATCTCGGGTATCATGTCATTGTTATTAAAGATATCAAATTTTAATATAATTTATAGAAGAAAGTACATGTATATTTTCAAAGACTAAAAGTATAGTATATTTGACTCCTGTAATGCGCTTAAATATCTCTAACATTCACCATTAAGCATACTGAAGGGTTTAAAATGACATGGTGCGAAGTGGAATTAAAACTTACAGACCATAGTTTAAGTCCGGCATTAGTACCAATGTAATTTAAAGGCATTAAAAATCTATAACATTTATAACCAACAATTATCGTATACATTTTACCAAAATTGATTTCTGATATAATAAATATAAATAATAATCTCATTATAGTATATAAATTGATTGAGTTTAATAAAATGTTTTTGATTTTTTCAGGTGCATCATATACGTTTTCTCTTTCGTTATTGATTGTGATATTGGTCAGCGTTTGGATAAGATAACCATATAAAAGTCCAACACCCAAATACCAAATAAACGGCCGCATTAGTGATTTCGTTGATTTTCGTTTTATGTAAATTTGTAATATTTTAAGACGCGTTATTTTGGAATCAAAAAACTATCTTCGTATAAATATTTATGTATTATGTTGTATATATAGAATGATTCTAGAAAAAAAATATATTCATAGAATATTATATCGGTTATTATAAAGTTATATTTTGACTTTATTAATATTATTACATTGTATAATATATATTCTACTAAAAGTGTAAACTAAACAAAAAAAAATAATACTTATAACCTATTATCTATTCGACTTTCAAAAATCATTTACCGAAAATTACTTAGTTAGGTGAATAAAATTCGAAAAAGATACTAATATTGTTTGTTATTATTTAATGTTTGTATTGAATAAACCATTGGTTCATTAATGATTACATTGAATTGTATTGTGTTTTTGTTGTTGTTATGTACTTTGTATGATAAGACGGCGTTCCGGATAGGCAATTTAAGTATACCTTTGCATAGATTACAAACGTTTGTACATCACAAAAAAGAAATATATTTTAATGCTATCATTATTATTATTACTATTACTTTTTTTTTCATACTAGGAAATTACAAGAATTTCAAAGACTTTTGGGTATTTTATTTTATCTTTTTGTGTAGATGAAACAAATGAATTCAAAGTAATTTTTGAGAAAGTTGCTAACAAAGTTATATTTGTACAAACTTACTAAAACAAAGTTTTAAAATAAATTGATTCTTTTAATTCAAATGCGATTAACATACTAAAATAATTTCTATAGGTGAAACATTTCGAGTATAAAGTAAGAAGAAAATAATTAATCAATAAATTAATTAATTTTATTTTACATTATTAATTTAATGTATGTAAACACCTTCCCTGACAAAAATGTATAAGTATTTAAGGATATTATTAACTACCTAATTTAACCACCTTCTATTATAAATAAAAGCAAAAATATAAGTTTTTATTATAACTGAACGTTTTTTATTCTTATCAAGATTTCTACGCACTTTATATAAAGAAACTAAGTATTATTTGTTTTTTTATGAACATTTTTTTATAAATTATCAACGGATATAAAACAAAAAAGTATTACGATTGAGTAATTACCAATACATAAATTTTATTTCCTTATCACAATGTTGAATATGAATTCTATCCGTTTGGTCGAGCTATAATTATAAACCAACTAAACACTAAGTTAAAATTTTAAATATATTTTTAAAAAGAAGTTTAATTGTATTTAACATAAATGTTTTTTTTATTAAGTATTGTTAAAACGTCAATATAATAATGTAGGTATAATATATATATATATATATATATATATATATATATAATGAATACGTAGAAAAATATAGTAAATATACTTGATTTTATTGATTTTGAAATGCAAATTTTTAATTATATAATTTAAATAACTTTAATTGATATTAATTGAGAGAATTTTAATAAATCGTATTTATCGTTGGGTATTTTTAAATAGCATTAAATCACTTGACATTAATATGTAAAGTTTTATTTAATAAATTTTAATAACTTACATAACTGACATCCTAGTATACATTTATATCTTGATGTAGCGTAAATAATAATTATTTAAAATACAAGTTATGAATATTTTAATTAAATCAACAAAATAAATTATTCCAAATAGTTTAAAAATTAAATAACGTTAAACTAATATTTCTAGTGAATTATTGGTATTTTTATTCATAATAACGTAAATGAAATAGTCAAGTAGCACAATATAATATTATTTTTAAAACAAAAACTTTTGATTCAAAACTAACTCGCTGTAGTAATATATAATATGCTAAATCTATTAAATACTCCAAAACAAGTGACAAATGTAATATTAAGATGCCTAAAATTGAAAACTAAACTAATAAAGTCAACTAAAATTCGGAACAAAATATAATCAAAAATGATATTTAACACGTTTAGTTTTGTGATTTAATATACAATTTCAATCGTTTTTTTTTTTTGTAGACTAAATGGGTTACGAAAGTTGGTATGAAATATATTAGTGAGATCTGCATTTAATATTTAAAAAAATAATTGATCAAATATTTATTTTTATTTTAGTGTATAATTATAACGGCTATATTAAGTATATAGCTAAATACGTATTAGCTTTAACAATACGTAGATACTTATGTAAAATTGTATTGGTATACTACTTTAAAAATACGAAAATGGCAGTAATAAAGATGGGAGAGATATAATAGAAAAGTTCCTTAAAAGTTTTTGAATTTGTACTTCATACCTATATATCTCACTACGTACATTTTTATTTTAACATGCATGTATAAAATAATACGCTTCATAAAAATGTACGTCATATTAACAATAATTTTAACGGAAATTAATTTTAATTCTTGGCCTATAGTATGTCTGTATCTAAATGTTTAATAATAAATTTCATCGTAAGATTATATCAGAATTCTGTGTCATGAGTAACATAACTAAAGTATACGAGAGTGTTGAATATTTTTAAATGTGTCATTTATTAGTTTTATACAAAGAAGTTCACAGTTTTGTAGAAGCAGTCCTATTAAAATAAATGACCGGTATAATACGTAATATACACAGAACTTTCGGTAAGCGCTTTTACTATACGTTTTCGCTGGTTCAGTGATTCCCAAAAAACTGTTCGTCTCACATTGCCCTTTTTCAACGAAGGCTGAACTATGGCAACATTATCTTTATCAAAGTACTCCACATAACTCTCGTAAAGAAAATGTGGAGCTTTAGATTAATAAAGCTATTTCCAAGGTAAGTCCATTTAAATTATGGTTTTTAAAATGTAATAAAAAATATTATGATTTTAAAAATTGCTATTTGTCATTTAGCGTATAAACTCAATGTTTGAACGTATGATCCTGGAGTATATAAAACAAGGTTAGAATTGGTATGTTATAATTTATATTATTTAAGGATACAACTGGGACGTGCACGCTTGTCAAATCATATTGTATATTTTAGTATAAGTGGACGAAAATATATCTTTAGGGTACACAGAGTATACCGTTTCATGATGTTTATGGAAATTAACTACTTTGATAGGAACCTCAATTAACATGTGACCAACTGGGTATATGTACTAAAAATGGATCGATGCAAACCGGCAAAGCTCTGAAGCTACAATATAAGAGTTAATATATTTTCTGTTATTTTCTTAAATTATGACCATTTACTTAGTAATTAGTACAACCATATCTACACTATGTGTGTTACATCGGATTTGGTAGTAAGACTTACCGAAAGCATCGTTGTGTATATAAATGACCGAGTTATCGAGTCTATCCAAAAAATGAATTATTCAATCACATTGGTAAAACAAATACGGTTTAATTATGTCTGACCCATTATTTTACCGTACAAAACAAATATTATTCGATCAAAACGAGGACGAAAAGTATGATTAAACAATATATTATTGTAGCTGCTGTTGGTATTATAAAACGTTCGATCATAGACAGGTTATTTACAGAGTAACAAACATTAATGCAAGCATAGAATCATTAATATTAAAATTGTTCTATGTAAAACACACACTATGATAACAATACTATGTTGCCACAACGGAAAGTATCCGTATAATGGGATTCTGATCATATGTTAATGCTAATATTATGTGCAGTATTTCTTATACGCAATTAAACACGTATTCAAGGTCTTATACAAATGTGGTAATTTAGTCACGTTCTATAGTTGTATAACAAATACTTTAAAAAATGTTTTTTTTTTTTTTTTAATATATCGTAAATTTCTTCAGATCTTGTTCAAATGTGAGCTTTTGAAAATTTTCATATTACATTATTTTGTTGTAAATTTAATTTTCAGTTAATTTCCAAGCATAACTTTGTCAGCCACTTTATAGAAGACACAAGAAAATAAAAAAAAATATTTTTTAACATATAGGTTACAAAATGTATAAAAACTATGTATATTTTAACATGCACTGAAAATAAAAAAATATTTATAGAAAGTATTAGTTTTACAATGACGTGTAATGATCTGAGGTTTTTATATAAGTTATCATAGAAATCTTGTATTTATTTTAAAATTATTTGTAAGTATAAATACTGTATATTTTTCATGAATCACAATTTAATTAAAATATTGAAAGTTTGCAGTGTAAATTTACTTAACTTAAAATATATTTCATGTTTTATAAAACTATTATATATATTTTTTTTAATTTTAAAATTTAATGCGCTAGGAAAAATAATTATATTTATGTATTTAATTATTTAATCATAACAAAGCAATGCAATTCAAATTAATAAGTATGAAGTATAAATGCAAATGGTTAAAAGCTTTTTCGAGATTAGAAATTAAAAATATTAAACGTTTTTAGTATAACTCTTTATAAACGAACATAATTAAACAATTAAATTAAAATTGTCGTTTTAATTTAAATATTGCATTTTAATTGTTTTAATATTTGTTTTTAATTGCAATTACATAATTTTAGCGTTCCTTACAATTATATTAAATATGAAACTATTGGCTAACTATTTTTTTATTAAAGAAAATATACGATTAAAAAAATTATTTTTTTTTTTAAAATTTTTAAAATTGAAATTTGATTGTTGATACAAAAGATAATATATTGTTTTTACATTTTAATTTGATTATTTTTTGTATATTTTTAAATGTTATAATAAGTACATGAATATAGTTTGTATTTTCGTAATTCTCTATTTTATAATCAACTCAATACAAATAATAATAATAATGGACATAATAAATTAATTAAATCGATAATGTATGCCAATTTAATTATTCTATATGGAAAAATTTTTTTCGATAATATTGTAAAAAATGAAAATAACTTATTAACATAAATTTAATTTATAACTTATTAATATGTGATATTAGATTATTTTTATAAAAAATAGTAATTACGTTTAATTTTTAGTTTATTAATATTAAAATAACAATATATTTAAATGTATTGATAACATTTATAATGTAATAGTACAATTGGTGTATTTTTATAATATTTTATAATTACTTTAAAAAAAAAAATAGTACACTGGAACTTGAAAAATAATTTTCATATGCATATACAATACATATTGAACAATTTAATATTCAACAAATTTCCATTTTAAAATTACAAATTTATAATGTTTTGTTGTTTACAAAAATTA